AAAATGCCAGGCGAGTCCTCAGAGTCACCATGGCAATAGCTCGTAATGATGGCAGCCGCCTTCAGCGAGCGCGAGAGCTGCATGATCCTTACCCAGGCAGGAAACGCAGATGAAATGGCGGTCCCCGTCGCTGAGTGCGGCTCGGCACGAGCCACAGGAACGAGGCATCTTTAAAAAGACGCTGCTCTTTTAGATAGATAGAGAGAGTGTGAGTCGCAGCGGCGAACACACACACGGCAGAGTAAAAGGATATAAACGCCGGAAAGCGTACGGCGTACGGCAGGTACGGCGACTGAAGGCGGTGAGATGAAGGCCAGCGGCTTCAGATGCAAAGGCTCGTCCCGCAGAAAGCTTTTCTCAGACGGCGCGGCTTCTTCACTCCGGATCCAGAGATGCGTGAGCTTCGCTGAAGAGATGAAAAATCAGATTATATCAGCCCATCGAGCTACATTTATAGGCCCAGGCCACGCCCGCTTTGGTGGGAGGTGACGTAGTGGGCGCAAAGCGCCCCATTGGATCTGACGTCACCAAGGGCCTCTCTCGATAGGCTCCTGCAGTTGCCGCAGGACAGCCAATAGGCACGCGAGCATGCTGCCGCAACGCGTTTTACATTAATTCAAAATTAAGGATAATTTTTGGCTTCGATATCTCGTGAAAAAGAGTTTTTCCCTAGCGTAAGATATTACACAGTACGAGAGAACCTCTCGTAAGAGAACTATCTGCTTGCCTTCACTCGATTCAAAACAGTAAGCTTGTAATAATATTTTTAATTCCAGTGGTACTGGTGATTTCCGCGGGAAATTCGAGCATGTCTTTGCGTCATTACGTCACATCTGTACACATAAAGAAGGTGTCTTGTCTAGTAGGCTATATTGCGTGTGAGAATGTTGGAGGTGGAGATTTATAGCCTTTTCTCACAGCACTTGATATAATTAAACTTATTAATTTGATGGCGGATCCAGAAAGGTTCAAACGACTATCACCAGTGAACACTGGAGATTAACCCGTTGTAAAATGTAAAAGACTTTGGACTGAGAGTTTGGAAAAAAAGACTGCAACCGGGCCCAATGAGAAAACAAGGATAAATATCTGAAGGGCATTAAATGTAGTCACGCAATGCTGATGTTGTTAACATTAACAATTTGAGAACAAAGTATAATTTGCACGGTTTGAAGTGATATGAAAAGTGATCGTTAGATTTAATCAGCGTGTTTTACTGCAATGCTTTTTTTCCCCAAAGTTGGTCAGAACAATAGTGGATGTTACTTACTTGTTCAGATGACATCTTCTAGTGAAAATTCTTATGTTGGTCATACTTCCAAAAAGTATCTGTGATTCCGAATGACAGTATCCACACCGGCGCGGCGACTGACAGCCCCACATTCTCCTCAAAACATTGGATTCATCCGCACTGTGCCGTGCCGAGGTACAACTCACGTAAAGTTGATAATTCCGCGAATGACTGCAATTGCAGATTTCGAACAGAGATGGCGACAAAGAGGAAAAACTGCGGACTGCAGCTTTAATTGACAAACCAAACATGATCAAGTTGCAAGACAAACACTGCGTTCGTAACTTGGCTAATCAAGCTATTCTCTGTTATCATCTACACACATTCAGGTTGCACTTGACACAAGACTTGATTGCTAATGCTGAATCAGCAGAGTGAATATTCAAGATCACATTGCAAACACATTAAAAGACATTCATCGCTGACTATAAGGCAAAGCTTGACGGAAACAACAGAATTGAGTGAAGTCTGACGCTGATATGGCTCAAGCAGACAAACAGGGACTTTTATCCAGTTGGCACACCAGCGGATTGATCGAGTGTCGTGTCATCACAACTATGATTGACATTCAAGTTGTCCAATGATTGTGAATCTAAAAGTAGAATATAGAAACAGTGGAGAAGAGCAGAAGTGAAATATATATATATATATATATATATATACAGATTTACAGAAACTACTCTAAATGTCCAACATAACTGAACATTAAACACTAACATAAACTACCAGCATCTGTCCCTATACTGAAAACACATAAAATAACACTTAATCCCTCTAATACAGTCCCTTGCAAAGCATGCTGGGAACTACAGATCCACTGCCCAGTTAGTTGTCAACAAAAAATATTCATGTAGTTTTAACACAAATGAATTGAGTAAACTTCAGTTTTAAATATATTAGTTGGATTGAACACAATTGAATTAATTTGTGCAAAATGTTAAAAAATCATGTTACTTTAGCTCATTTTAATTAATTGAACTGAACAAGAGGCAAAAAATCATTTAACTTTAATAAACAAAACTGCATGCATTTTGCAGAAGAACTTTATTTTTGTTGTGCTTCAGCACTGCTTGACTGTGCGGATGAATATGGTTGTCCTACTGCTCATAAAACACTCACTACTAGGCTTAAGAGACACAACCATTTTAGATGTAAAGGATCTCAAACTTACTAGTTGAAGACGTTGTATATATCCATTAATTGACACGGTACTTCCTTGAAAATAAATTCCAGCTGCACTACAACAACCACAATGAAAGGAACTTTCACAATACATAATGCTTTACAATTAACTCTATTGGAGAGTTACATATGACAATTTATTTGTTCAATAAAATACCAACCTGTTGAGTAATAAAAATGGCATCTCCGTGTCGGTTTTACAACATTTCAAATCCCTGTTTTCACCATCTCCCAAAAGCAAAGTCAATGTTGATTCTAGTTTTAATACGAGCTGTGATGCTTTCTCATTTTGCCAGCAGACTCTCCTCTGTTCGGCTTTTTTTGATTCCCCAAGGGTTCGAAATTTAGCTACTCTCTGTCAACAGTTCTCGCTCGTTGCGACAACTAACCTTTGTCACTCCCACCATACGCCTGTCAAAGTAGCCGGAGCAACTTTTCTCTATTTATGGATATGACGAGACTCACGGACGAGTGAGTAAGTGCTCAGTTTTGTGTGAAAAGCATCCCGCTCTGTCTAAAATATAAACACTTATAACATGCTTACCATAGAGAATCAGGGTAAGACAAAAACAAGTTTTGGAAGAAGGATTGATGGTGTATTGACACATTTTCTAAATTGTGTTCATGCGAACAACAACAAAAAAAAAAGTTGCATAGTGCACCTTTAAACATGAAAAGACAAGATTTTTTTGTTTTGTTTTTACAAATATGTGAACGTTGGGACACAGCTGTGCAACCTTAGGTATATTTAATAGAGCCCCTTCTCAAAGAAACTTGTAGAAATGTTTCATATTTACTTCTGTTAATCTCAAGGTTAATAATGAATTTAATGTGAATGTGAAGTACTGAGGCTTAGTCTGTGGACAGATCACATTTTTGATAAAATTAGAGAAAATCAAACAGATTAGATCAATAGATTGGTTGTGTAGATATTGAGAACAATTAGCTGGTTGAAGTTCTGTGTTGTCCAATATATCAAACAGTGTATCTCTCTAATGTACTATCCAATAAGGTGTAAACTGGTAAATATAAAGGAAGGCATGCTGGAAAAATTGGCTAAATTAAATCCCCAAATTTGCATTGTTATAGGCTTTAATGGACTGCTATATTTGCCATAGGGCGCTTGGAGAAAGGGCTGAAAAAAGTAAGAGGACAGGCAATGAATGCATGAAGAGCTAGAAAGACAATAGAGGATGGCAGAGAAAGGCGAGAGTGGGCTTAAGGAAAAAAAGAGAAGTTTACTTTCTGTCACACACACACACAAGCAAACTAAGCCAAGTTTACTCTCCAAAGTCACCGAGGTCATGGAAGATATGATAGCTGTGATGAATAATATAGTCATCGCACTGTGTGTTTGGGGCAGTGCACTAAAAGCTGCCGAGATTTCAGTGACACTGTTGTTTTTGGACCAAGTCATTTTTGGTTAATAAAGTCATGATCAGTTTCATACGCATCGTTCACATCAGCCCTGCATGAGACAAATACAAATTCAGCTCTTTCTCTAAGTCATAATCATGCATCAGGGTTTAAAGAAAGGCTTTCTGGTTACACTGTATTTCAAGGTGTCCTTGTTACATGTGCTTAATATAGGATTAGGGTTTGGTTTAGTTAATAACTTACAGTTATTACTAGTAGAAGGAAACTGTAAAATAAATCATCACTAGCTTTCCATATTCCATATACATATTTCCACTATAATATGTACACAGAAAAAGTCTTAGATCTTTGAGTTCAGCTCATGAAAAATGGGGGCAAAAACAAAAGTGTTGCGTTTATAATTTTGTTCAGTGTTGTTTATGTTTCTTTATGTTGATATTACTTGCAAAAATGATTCCATACATTTTTTTTTTTCTCTCACAAGATTTGAGGTTGTTGGTTGTTGTCTCTGGATAATGTCATGGTTGAGACGCTTTCCATGTGCCATTAATTGGATTTTTTTTTTGTCTTTTTCACACCAAATTATGACTAATTTCAGTTAAGTGAGAACATGTGGAAAGGTTATTTTCATATATGCCATTTTATTTTCATGACATATTTTGTGATCTTGTGGTAAAGGACTTCATCGGGCAAATGGACTGAAAGAATGATTAGTAATTTTTGGGACAAATTTTTACTCAAGAGACTTGTATTAATTACTGTAAGTGTACAAATACATCTATAATTTGACATTGTAGTAAGTCTTTAAACACCCTGGAAACAATGAGCAGCAGCTCTAATATTAACTCTGTTCAGAAACATAGTGAGTTGCCTTTTTGTCATTGTCAACATTGGCAGCTCTTTTCTAAGGCAGCATCATAACTGGAATTGAAATTTAACTTAAATTAAACTTGTATTTATTTACGTATATAGAACTGGAAAAAAAAATACAATAAAATAATTATCATCATCATCACCATCTTGGATATTTTTTTAAATGCTCTATGTCTAGTACAAGAAGACCTTTCCTGATTGTATGAGGTAAATGTGGGCCGCAAAAGTTATGTTCTTGTTTCTCAAAGCATTATTCTTTCTTTTTCTTTTTCTGCAGGCTCAGAGATGGTAGAAGCCCAGTGTCAGCGGTTCGAGGTGAAAAGTAGTGATGGCGAGAGAGTTCTCTTCTCTGCTGATGAAGAGGAGATCAGTATTGGCACAGATAAACTGAGGGTCACAGGTATTACATACACATACACAAACACACTCACATATTCATCCAACATTCACCCATGATCCATGTAAGAACATATAGACTAAACTACCTGTGTTATAGTTTATCCTTAAATTTGGCCCATCAATCAGTGTCCACTTATCCATTTGCCTGTAAAGTTATAATAGTTATTCTAAGGATTGTTACTTAGTAGTCTAATATACACATTTTTTTCCAACATGGTTTATTATTATTAGAAAAGTTTGGTTGTGTGTATCTACACCAGAACCCTGAACGCTTAACCCTGTAGAACAAGTTCAATCCCATTATAAACAATGGAGCTGTCTGCAGCATTATGGCAACGTGCTTTCAGTTGATAGATTTTGATATGTCGCAGCCTCTTTATTTTACCTGTCTGTCAACAATAACATAATTTACATTTTTTTTATTTTTTTTTTTATTTGTATGACCTGATTGCGATGCATTTTGTTTTTTTTAATTTAGGCAATTTTTGACCATTGCATCAGAGCCGTGTGTGTGATAGGGAGAGATGAGTCACTCCAAATATGCGATATTACTTTTATACAACAGTTCAATAAAATTAACAGTTGCTATGTTTGCATGCAGCCAAATAATTGATTGATTGTTCAATTGGATTGAAAGTCTTCATGTAAATTTTATCCAATTATGCTCGGTCGGAATTGAATTTTGATCGGATTGTAGACTTAAAAATAATCTAATCAATTGGAGAATTTAAGTATGAAAACACTTGAATCCGACTATCTTCATCTCAATCTGGTTAAAAAATGCACTGTTCACATGTGGTGTGCACATTATTTAGTTCCTGAATGAATGAATGTAATAGTTAACCCTGGGTTATTCTAAACCATGGGTAAACTGAATCCTATTGCTCATAATTTACCCGGGGATAACAATTAATCCTGGGTATTCGTAAGCTAATGTGTCACATTGTGCACTCCCAAACTCTGGGTTAACAAACATCCTTATTGGCATATTTGCAGTGCCAATGTCACTGACTGGATGAATGCAGCACGCGACCTGTTTACATAAATGCTCTATTGCGCTGAATGAAATCAAAATGTTTTCTGAATGGACTATAAAGGTTAGAATGAAACATTCTCTTTTTTGATAATTTTCACAAAAATGTCATGGCCTCCAGAATTTTTTGTTGCATAAATATCTGAACATGCAATATATCAAAATAAAGAACAGGGCCTAAAAAAGCTTTATTCTAGCTTTATGCATTCTTTTCTTTTTTTATCAACACCTGAATGTGGTTGAGTTTCATAAACAAAATAAAATAAATCAACATTCTGAGCAAAAAGCTGAGAAAATTATGTATTTTGTCAAAGACTGTATCTGCATCGGATTTAGGACAATGTTCTAAATCCATTTACACCTACCAAAGCTTCACAGACCAATAGCTTGTAGTAGGACATTTCATTTGGTAACGTTAGGCAGTTTTGATGTATGATGTTGATGATTGCATTATTTTACATGCATTACATGATATCGCTTGTTTCTTCTTCGCCTGTGTTTTGAGCAGGAGATTACTATTTTAGTACCATTTCAGGTAACACTTTATAATAACTACACGCTAATAATCATTAGTTAAGCATGAGTAAACAGTTAATTCATCATTCATAAAGCATTAATAGACATTAATAAGCAGTTTATAAAAACAGCTATAAATGCTTTCTTCTTGATTTACAAGCATATCTATAATTTATTTAATAATTGTATTTTCATCCTTTATTAATGATCAATTTATTATTTCTAAATGATTAATTGCATTTTTTATAAACCAGTTATTTAAGAGTTTTCAGTGGTTCACAAGATTACTTAGAACGTGTAAGTAAATGATTAATAAACTATTTAAATGTACATTCATACATCTTATTATTCAGACATATAGTGATGGTCACTTAGTGTGTTAATAAATGCTTTATTAACATGTATTTAAGCTGTAATTCAGGGTTAATTCGGGTAGTTATAAAGCATTTAGTAGTGGTCAGTTAACTATGTTTGTGAGCTCATCTAAAGTGAGGACTATTCGTGCCTTGTAAAGCATTTATAAAGGAGATTTAAAGGCTGTTAAATATTTCTATGTTCTGTATCACTGTGTTGTGTTTGTTACATTTTACTGTTTAGAAGATTGATGCGCCTTTAAATCTCCTTTATAAATGCTTTACAAGGCATGAATAGTCCTCACTTTAGATGAGCTCACAATTAATGCTTATTAATGCTTTATAAATGATGAATTAACTGTTTACTCATGCTTAACAAATGATTAATAGCATGCAGTTATTATAAAGTGTTACCCTATTTCAGAAGATGTCATAGCGCCCCCTACTACAGTATATAACAGTAAAAAACAAGGGAAGCCGGAATTTTCTGTCAATGGCGGGGAAAGAGTTAATTGCAAGCGTGAAACGTTCCTTTTCCCGGGGTTAAAAGCAGGTTTCAAAACAACGATAACCCAGGATTAAGCGCAGTGTGAAAAGCAGTGACTCACTTACCTGCTGGTGTAATGATGTAACCTACAGAAAGAGTCAATCAAATTGGGAGACTTCAGCTGTTGTGTAATTTTTCAGCACTGAATTTTTTTTTTAGTTATTAGAAAATACATTTAACATTTAATAACAAAACATTTAAATTTAATACAGCTTTTTATACACCATCCATTTTTTGAGCCAATTTTTAATATTTAAAGGTTTAAATATTTGCATACACTGTATGTACTAGTAACCTGCCCTTACATTGAAATGCAAATAGATTGTTTCAAATAGATTTCACTCATGCAGGCCGCTCTTTCTCTTACTCTATTTTTTTTTTCTATTTCTGTCTGAGAGTGCATGCTGGGAGGTCAAGTGGAATAGCTAGAGGTCAGGGACAAAGAGGGCACATGCTCAGTAATTGGGCAGATCTGTCCATTAACTCTTTTCACAAAAAGACATGGGTAGAGAGAGGGATCAAGGGAGAGAAATAGTTCGAGAGAGAGAGAGAGAGAGAGAGAGAGAGAGAGAGAGAGAGAGAGAGAGAGAGAGAGAGAGAGAGAGAGAGAGAGAGAGAGAGAGAGAGAGAGAGAGAGAGAGAGAGAGAGAGAGAGAGAGAATGCATAAATATAATATGGTTCTTCAGAGGTGAGACTGAAAGGCTAAAATGCGTCAGAAAGAAGAACTGCCCTATGGAGAGGAAGTGAGCGGAGGGAGTAAAGTGTTAAAGGAATACTTTTCATGTCATTCAAAATATTTGTTTATTCTGTGGAACACAAAAGTAATCTTGTAAACATTCTTCAAAACTCCTATTTTTGTCTTTCACGTATGAAAGAAAATAATGTGTGTTTTAAAGGAGTAAATTAAAGTTTAATTTTAAACTGTGCCTTTCAAACTGTTCTGAACGTGATTGTGGGGAAAATGAAGAGGAATAAAATAAACTAGGACAGACCGAAACAAACAAAAAGGCAAGTATGGAAGATCAGCTTATTTTTATATGTATTAGAACTCAAGTAACACGCGCATTTTTATGAAAAATTATACTGTGCAAAGGGGGAAATTTCAAATTTTCCAGAAGTACAGATCTGGGGAACTGCACTCAAGTCTACCACTTCACGGCTCTTGTAATTTATCACTTGATGTTTTATACCTCTGAGTATGAGGTACACTGCCTAGCCCGAGTTACTTTATTAGTAGTATAGAAGGTATAACAGAGCATTAGGTTGTAGATAAAGATATATGATAAGCCAGGTATATCAATTCCACCATTGACCACGTTTGTGTGTGTGTGTGTGTATGTGTGTGTGTGCGTGTTTGTGTGGCCCTGGTAAATGCTACGTTATGGGGACAAAGATGGCAATATACAAAATCCTTGTCCTTCTGGGGACAATTTTTGGTCCCCATTTGGAAAACAGCTTACAAATCATAATAAGTGATGATTTTTGATAATGTAAAAATGCAGATGTGATGGTTAGGGTGTGTGTGTTTGTGTGTGGTGTGGTCTAACTTACAGTACTTGTGAGTGCAGTGAGTTTGGCTTCTCACGAACCCTGTTTACACCTGGTGTTGACACCCCTCTCAGATGACACGATTGTGAGCAGAGTCAGATAATGTACATATAATATTTTCATCCTTAAGTCTGCCTAGGAACTGACTAGTTGTTGATTATGATTATAAAAATTCAGTTGTTCACAAAGTTGTATGACACTATATTTAAATGTGTTGTGTTTTTTTTGTTTTTTTTCAAAACAACATGGTTCTAACCAAATGACTTGTCATCCTTTCTTTTTTCTCTTTATCTCTCTAGGCAACGAGGGAGTTGTGTTTAGTCATTCAGTGGAAACGTCACACGTTCGAGCTGAACCATTCCAAGACCTGAAGTAAGGCATGCTTTCTTAATGTACGACAATATAATTAAATGTGTGATTCACACCGAGAACCACAGAGGGGTGGGGGAGAGCTAGAGAATGAGAAAATGAAAGGGAACAAGACACAGAAGGATAGAGGAAAGTCATAAAACATGAACTTAATGAATGTCCACTTCCTAATTGTCCATAGAAGCTCTATATCCTCAATATTCAGTGACAAACTGTCCCATTCATACTCTGTTATGAGAAAGAGGACGCGACCTGTCTGACACGCCCAATCCATCACCGGTGGATCAGCCAATCAGATTGATCTAATCTCTTCCGTCTGCATTAGTCAATATCTGATTGGATGTCCGATAGGTCACTAACACATCCCAAAGCTTCTCACTCCCCCAAACTCCGACATTATCACTACAGGAAATGATGTACTGCCATGATGGATGGAGTCACTTTAAGTGCAACTAGGCAGGTTACTGAGGGTAACTGAGAGCTTTTACCACCCAGTTTGGTTTGATGGAGCACGGCTGGGTGCTTTCCAATAGCAATATGAACTTGCTTAATGCAAATGCACCAGGATCACATCTTCTTCATCGCTACAAAAATTGGGGAAATGATTGGATTAATGGAGGGATGGTGACATCTTATACTAGACGTTCAGCTTTCAATGGGAGTGTTGAACCTTTTTAGTTCCATTTCTTATTTTAATGGAAAACATTATCAGGATTTGACCCATTAAGGGGTCAAGGTTTGGCTAGTTAGCATGGTCCACTTAGCCCCTGCTGGTCCATACTGTTATTACACGATTTTGTGTTTAAAATCTTTGCCATCTTTTTCTTTTTATAGCCGTGTATAAACTTTCTGATGTTATTATAAACCAGCGGCCTACACTAGATGTATTCTACATGCGATCAGTAATTGTTTAATAAGACACAATGTTTTGTGTGAAAAAAAAAAAAAAGTTTGCTTCACCTAAAGCTAGTGTTATGCCAGTTCTGCAAGCATCTAGAAGTTGTCACCGTTCTTTTAAGGATTTAGGCTTAAGTCTCAGCTGATTCTGTTTCTTCATGTAATCCCAGACTTATTCAATGATTAAGTTGGATCAGATTTAATCAATGTAATCCCAGACTTAATCAATGATTAAGTGAGATCAGATTTTTGTGTGGGCCATACCTTCTGTTGTCAGACTCCATGTACATACAGAAATCTCACTGGATTATTACAGTATTTGAAAAAAGGAATATTTGGACATCTGAAATTGACTTCCTACTGCAACTAAAGCAAAAGCTAAGTAATTCTTAAAGGTGACATATTATGCCCCTTTTCACAAGATGTATTATAAATCTATGGTGTCGCGCCATTTTTGTGGGTGTCCCTTTAAATTCAAATGAGCTGCTGCTCCCCGTCTCCGTTCAGAAGAGGCCGATCCTTTTACACAAGCTTCAGATACTTCGGCAATAAACAAACGCAAATTTCAGTCAATTCTCGGAAATAACCCGTAGCGGAGTTCAGTCTAACAGGCTGGGAAAGTTGTTGTGAAATAAGACAGCTGTGACAAATTTTTTGGTCAAATAGTGTTCTGTACTCGTCTGTGCAGCAACGACAAAACAGTTTGCTCGATTTGCTCGAACTTTTGCCATTGCGTTTGAACTGGGTACACTGTTGTCGCTTGTGAAACCAAATGGCACTGCCGTGGTTGGAAACGTGCAGATTAAGGGGTAGTAATATTATAATAATATCCTCTTCCTATGTCAGAAGGAGCGAAATCAGATCGGCTTAATTTTTGACATGCTTGCAGAGAAAGGCTTATCAAAACAAAGTTACTGTTTTGTCACTTTTCACGTTTTCAGGGTTGGTAGATGCACAGGGGACTAGGGGTGTGACGAGATCTCGTGCCACGAGATCTCGCGAGACTAAATATGACGAGATTTCTCGTCGAGTGAAAAAGCTGTCTCGCGATATCGCCATGAATATTTCACTGCTACACTCACATTCGCCTAAACTATCGTTTTGTTGTTTTTATAAAAAAAATAAAAACCATTATAATCTAATGTGAAAGTCTGCTCTGCTCATCCAGCACGAATTGCTGTTGCAATCAGTGCAGCACGAATCCCAGTTCACTGATCGCGTGACGATGGCGGAGCGGAGGATTCGTTGCGCAACAGACTAAACGTCTGATAAATGTCTTATCTTCTAGAATATGCGCGCTCAGCACCACTGCTCCCTATACGCGCGGTCACGAATTTGTAAGTGAAAGTAAAACACAAGCTCCCTGATGTGCATTGCGCACAAATTAGGCTGCATACATACAATAGTCCGTCTCCCAATACCCATCTCTGGACTGTTTATTTGCGGCTATGGTCTCTGTTTGCACTGCGAATATTGAGAGAGCACTGTAACGTATAAAGGACAACAGACAAGGGAGGCTCCGTTTCTGAACTTATAATCGGAACGCTGTAGAGACAAACGCACCAGCCTCGTTTCTCTCTACCCGGCCTTTTCCGAACTCACTGCATTAACCCTATAACTGCCGGTGCAAAATAAAACAGCAATTTCACAACAATTATAAAGAGTCTGTGTGCTAACTTTGATTATGGTTGCACTTATTGTTTGCACTTAATAAGACTAAGAGAAAACTGTTATTTATTTTTGTTATTTATACTGTTTTTATTTCTCTGTTAAATGTATGTAAAGGAGTTCAGTTAGGAGGTCCCACACAGCCTCAATCAGAAGTTCTGAAAACTCTTACATGTACAGTAAGGTCTGAAGAGACTCATGTGAAATCATACAGAAGAAAAGCCAGTCAATAAAAACCTTTTACAGTGCTTGAATATTGTTTTATTTCAATGCATTTGATAATTCATACTCATAAAGTAGACCTGAAATGACATGCATTAGAAGATTATTAGTTAAAACATTGAAAAATGCACCTGCATACTATTTTTCCAGTCATAAATTTTGTCATTGAGGATTTCTGAAAAATTGTGCAAAAATCTCGTCTCGTTCTCGTGAACCCAATCTCGTGTCTCGTCTCGTCTCGTGAGATAAGCGTCTCGTCACACCCCTACAGGGGACCCAAATATAGCACTTAAAGGACAAGTTTGGTATTTTATACTTAAAGCCCTGTTTCATTATCGTTTCTAATGAAATAGAACGGTTAAGATTAAAATTTGGACACATGCTGCTGTCCCGAGAATTTTCGGTTTCTGTGGTTGCATACCCCCCCACCCACCCCACAATGGTTGCATAGGTGCACAGGAACAATCCTTCCTAAAACGCATTAAACTTTAGTTTACAAAGACGTTAAACTCACCGAGGGGTCTGGGGTATTCACTGATATGCACACACAAAAATAGCTGCAAAAGATGCTTTCCAACAGGTTTGGTGGTTCAATCCCTGGTTCCACCTGGCCAAGTGTCGAGGTGTCCATGAGCAAGACACCTAACCCCAGCTGCTCCCGACGCGCTGGATGGCGCCTTGCATGGCTGACACCGCCGTCGGTGTATGAGTGAGTGAGTGAATGGGTGAATGTGAGGCAAAATGTAAAGCGCTTTGGTGGCCATTGGGTCTGTGAAAGCGCTATATAAATGCAGTCCATTTACCATTTACCAATGGAGTTGTCCAAAAACTACGATAAAACCTGTTGTAAAGCATCTTTTGCAGCGATTTTTGTGTGAGCATATCAGTGAACACCCCTGACCACTCGGTGAGTTTCACGTCTTTGTAAACTAAAGTTCAATGCGTTTTAGGAAGGATTGTTCCTGTGCACCTTTGCAACCATTGTGGAGGTGGGGGGGTGCAACCATATAAACCGAAAATTCTCGGGACAGCAGCATGTGTCCAAATTTTAATCTTAACCGTTCTATTTCATCAGAAACGATCTTGAATCAGGGCAAGTAAAATACCTAACTTGTCCTTTAAATTGTCCTTTCATGATATGTCCCATTTAAAGTTTTCCATGTTAATCAGAGTTGTTGTCCTAATCAGCCGCAACAGCGAAATGCAACGAGCGACAGGGAATTCTATTTTAGAAACAGATATCTTTCTATTTCTACGTCACAGCTGAAACAACAGCAAACAAAGTATGACAATGGTAATCTCGGGTACTGATTATGTGCTTTAGTAAATGGTAAAACAATTTAAATGTGAGTTTGAATGTTATTTTTGCATGACCTTTATAGGCTTACTGAAAGTGGCAATTGATAATTCACCTCAGATCTTGAAAATAAATTAAAGGAAACAAGAACATTCAAATTTGTGAACAAACAAGTGTATTCTTTGAGGGAATAATGTGGGGGAGAATGATATTTTAAAAGAGCAGTCAGAACTCCTTATGAAGGATTTCAATTAACTCTGTGAAACACTTGAAAGACTAAGAATCCAGTCATTCATTAGTAGACCACTCCTAACAAGAGGAACTAATATGGTTTCAGGGTTGCTTGGTCTAAACACATGGCTGCAGAAAACATACAACATGAGAGGACGGAACTTTATTGACAACTTAAATCTTTTCTTGGTTTAAACAACTGTTTAAACCAAACGGCCTACACCCAAACAAAGAGTGCAAGAGTGCCAAAGGACAATATCTACTTCTCCCTCCATCATCCTTCAACAGTGTGTGCCACTGCACTCAATCAAAATGGCACACAAAGACCACAGGACTTCACATCAGTATCTGAATGTGAATGCGATTGACATATCCCACAAGGACAATGATAACACCAGGCAGCCACAACCATTGCTCACGGACACAATCTCAGCTGAGCGACTGCCCATAAAGTTTACTTCAGAGAGATTGTGACGAACTAGAACAGCTCCAAGATTCTGCACCCAAGGACAACCTCCTTGGAAAAAAAAGTGAGGGAAACCAGAGTAACTGTTTCATCCTCTGATGACACGAGCCCCAGCCCCTCTCAGCAGACATGTTATCCCTGTCTCTAGCATCTCCACTTCTGAGTTTCTCAGGGAAAATGGAGGAACTGGTGTATGTTGTAACAAAGCTCTTCCACTCTATT